GAGACTTGGTCCATCCCGTGAGGCCTCATGGCCATCATCTGTGTTTACGTTGTTACTTGTTGTTGAACTTGCCTGCCTTCATGTTAGAGATCATGCTTAGGATTTATTCATGCTCACATTATTTATACTCAATCATAGAAATTATTGTACATGTTTGCCTCAGTCTCTATTAGTTGCTAATATGTTGTCATAGTTGATGTGGATTGTGTCCCTTTATTTGTTGATGATGGTGAGGCTAGTGAGGTACATGATTGAGTAAGGCTGAGGGCCTGGTTGTGAGGATATTAATACCATAGCATGTGAGTTGTCCACGTAGCACATAAGTTGACCGTGGGGGTCCAGGTATTGATACCACAACGCGTGAGTTGTCTGCGTAGCACGCGAGTTGACTGTGTGGATCCAGGTATTGATATGATGGCACATGAGTTGTCCGTGCTTAGCATTTGGGCTTTGGGAGTCCCTCCGGTGTCTGTACACACCTCCAGTGAGCACAGAGTGTTGAGTGTATTGAGTGTTGACTGCGAGTGTTGAGTGATGGAGTGACATTGCTGTGAGGTTGCATTTACTTTTGATGTTATTGCATTTATCTGTTAAATTTCTTTGCGGAATTTATTGAGTTATGGAATTTACCTGTTTATTTTTGTTTATTTTTAAATCGTGAAAATAAATAATTAGACTGTTTTACTTAGCTCGTCACTATTACTCAGTTCCTTAGTTATTTTTGTTACTACTGAGTCGGTTGTACTCATACTACACCCTGCATTTTATGTGCAGATCTATGTGAGTTAGAGCGCGGCGATCGTTGAGTTCAGGCTGGTTATCTGGAGAGATTGCAAGGTAGTTGCTAGTGTCTGCAGGACCTTGTTACTCCTTTTGTCATTTCTTCTTTTGGACAGTTAGACAGTTTATACATCTTAGTTTATAGTTTTAGATGCTCATGACTTAGTGACACCCTAATGTTTGGGGCTCGTTTCCATATTTTATATTAATTATATTTAGAGTTGATTTAGTTTATGAGAAATTCAAATGTTGAAAATATTTTATTAAATTCTTATAATCAATTTAATAGTAATATTTTGGGAAATAGGCTTGCTTGTAACACGATAGGCGTCATCACGATATGGTTAGATTTTGGGTCGTGACAATGACTAAAACACTCAAGTACTTAAAGGCCTTCATTTTTATCAAAATTTCGAAGCGACAAACAACTCGAAGTTATTATCAAAATCGGGCCTTATTCGGGCTTCCGAATAGCGGGCGCTCTAGATTACGTCTAATTCTATGATAAGGCATTAAGGACGATCCACAAATAAAAAATCACGANATATATACACATATTCTAAAAAGTATTTACAAAGGCACGACAAAATAGCCTCAAAATAAATAAAAAAGAAATATACAATAGGAAACAAAAAAAGGAGCTAAGGCATCTCCACCTAATCTTCACCATAGCTCGACTCAGCACCGAAACCTTTGGGACCTTCAGGCTCGTATAGCTCTTTTGCCTCGGCCTCGAGCCTCTTGGCCTCTTTGATCTCGGGAAAAAGATCAAATCCCCGGGCATGAATCTCCTCGAGGGTCTCCCTACGTGATAGCAACTTCACATATTCGGCCTTTGTTATTAAGCGGGCCTCGGCTATTTTCACCTCGATTTTATACTGGGTTGCAGATGCGGTATTGGGCGAGATAGTCTGGAGGCACAGGTGCGGAAGTTTCAATGCACCTACGAGACTGCAGGTGCGGAAGGGTATGCGCGGGTGCGGTCGGAGGGTTTAAGTGAAAACCGCAGGAGCGGTTTGATTGAACGCAGAAGCAGCTCTGCAGGTGCGGAAAAAGGACCGCAGGTGCGAAAACCCTGGGCCAGAAAGTATATAAATCCTCCTTCGCAATTTTTGAGTTGTTCTTCACCATTTTCATTCGGGTTTGAGCTTGAGGGAGCTATTTGAAGAGGGATTTCGAGGGGATTTCGTTGAGGTAAGGTTTTTGGACCCTAAACTTGTTTCTATGATGGTTTTTGACTGATTAAGCTTGAAATCTATGGGAAAAGCAGTAGCAAATTGGGGGTTAGGGCTTGGAAAATTGGAGACCAAAAATTAGGGATTTGAGGGGTCATTTGTGGGCGAATTTTGGTACTTTTTATGGGAATGAACTCGTGGGGGAATAAGGATTCCATTGATGTAAGTTTTGTCGGATTCCGAGACGTGGGCCTGGGGTCGAATTTGGTCAATTTCTGGATTTGTGTCGTAATTTGATTATTTTTGAGTGGGCTTTGTTCCCTTAGCATATTTTAATGGTATAAATCTGTTTTTGGATCGATTTGGAGCATTCGGAGACCGATTCGAGGGGCAAAGGCATCGGGGGCTAGAGTTTGGACCGGATAAAGGTAAGTAATGACTGTAAATGATGTCTTGAGGGTATGAAACCCTGGATGATTTCACATCATTGTGCTACTTTGAGGTAACACACATACTAGATGACGAGCATGGGGTCGTGCACCGTTGGAGATTGTGACTTAGTTCGTCCTGTATGACTGTTTAACCGCGTATTTGATTGAAAACTGTTTGCTATCATCATGTTTTGGGCTGAATATCATATTTGAGACTCGTGCCAACTGTTTTGGACTCTTAGGGGATTTTTACTACTATTCCTCATTGTTGTGAGGTTATTATGGAATCGGGTTGCGCGACGCAATGGTATTGTACTGATTCATGACTATGAGGCCGAGGGCCTGATTTGTTACGCCACGAGGTGGCTTGTTATAAGGCCGAGTGTCTGTTTGATTATGCCACGAGATGACTTGTTATTGCGCTTGGGCTGTAATGAGCACCTCCCGGAGTCTGTACACCCCTAGTGAGCATGGGTACCCAGTGCGAGATGTGATATAGCCCGAGGGGCTGATGTTGTTCCATGTTATTGCCCCAGGGATTGATACGAGTGATTGTGAGATACCCCGAGAGGCTGGTTCTGTTGGTATGTTGCCCGAAGGGCTGATTTATGTTTCTATCTTTCCTCCTCGTTTTCATTCACTCATTTAAGCTGCTAAAAGATGCTTTAAAGAGGTTTTTACTAAACTAAGTTGTTTCTACGAGTTTTTTTTACTGTTTTATTTCATTGTTCTGGTTTAATACTACCTCGTTGTAGCATTTTGCTATGTTTTACGTGTTTTCTTATCGCTCAGCTACCTTTACTTTTATTACTTACTGAGTTGACGTACTCACATTACTCTCTGCACCTTGTGTGCAAATTCAAGAGTCTCGGGTCACGCTAGCGAGGGTTGATTTGCTTCCACCGCAATCTTGTTCGGAGTTGACTAGGTAGTTGTTCGGTATTCGCAGCCCAGTGCTTCTCTTTCCTATCCTTATTTTTCATTTATACTAGCTTTGTATTAGACTATGTAGTCTCTTCGTACTCTTAGAGGGATATTTAGATGCTCATGAGTGGTGACGCCCCGATGTTGGGCCGTGTTTGTTTCCGCATTTTTCTATTCTACTCTATGTTTTGGGATTTATGGTTTATTAATGACTTAAAATGAATTATTATAACTATTTAATTGGTTTGTGGGTTTGTGTCGGCTGGCCTTGTTTCACGGTAGGCGCCATCACCACCAGGTCTGGTTTAGGGTTGTGGCAGAAATACGGGAACGGTTATACATGACAAGTAGGGAGCCGTAATATTCTCCCTCAACCGGCCGATATTATGGCGCTCAGCCCGTCCAATATCAACTGCAGATTGACGTTTACCAAAACAAGTAGAATTTTACATTATTTAGACTTGTACTAGGACTAAAATTCCCCTACTAGATAAAAGGGAAGTTTTTTTTTTTTATTTTGACATATTGTTGACATGGAAATCAAAGCAATAAATGTTTATTTTTGTGTTCTAGCTATTATAAAAAGTGTTCTTCAATTATTTTCTTCTTTATTCGCATCTGAACTTATATCGAGGGTCCGATCGAGGTTGAATTTCACTATTTATCCTGAGATCAGGCTTGATCATCACATTGCAATTGGTTTGATCGTTCAAATCGCCTTTAACTTATAGCCCGTTTGGCCAAGCTGCAAAAATCAGCTTATTTTGAAAAATGCTTTTTCTCAAAAGTACTTTTGGTGAGAAGCAGTTTGTGTTTGGCAAATGGATTTCCAAAGTACTTTTGAGCAGCAATTAGTGTTTGGTCAAGCTTAAAAAACCTGCTTTTAAGTGTATTTTTCTCAAAAATGATTTTCAAAAAAAGTGCTTTTGAAGAGAAACTACTTTTTCTAGTTTCTCACTCAAAAGTACTTTTTTCCTGTCAAAAGCTAGGCAAAACACCTTAATTTTATGGGGGGGGGGGGGGGAAGCACTTTTGACCACACAAAAAAAATGATTTTGCCTCAAAAGAAGCTTGGTCAAACATGTTATTAATTACTTATTCCTAAATCATTCATATTGAATTGAATCACATATCCTTTAAACCATGTACAAATTCATTCGTTACCTATTTTGGGGGTAAACGACATACTTTTATACATGAAAGAACGCGTTTTGTAAGTTGGAATTTGAAAAATGCCTAATTTAAATGTTACGCGTAATGTGAAAGTAGTACCTAGTATAAAGAACATCCGATTTATCCTTCGTAATAAATCTGTTATAAGCTCCATTAGAGATTGGACTAAACCGACTCATTTTGTTTAATTGAAGATAAATTTGATTAATCAAAACTACTTCATTTCATCCTAGTCATGCCCCAAATTTCCAAATTACGAAAGTACAGCAAGCAAACAACTAGAATGGTGGATCGCATCTGGGACCGAAACGACCCCTTGTGGAAATTGATTCAAGCATTTAAATTAAATTAAAGGCTATTTACGATATTTCAATCGGGTTTTCACTTTCGATTTCTCTCATATAAGATTAAAATTACAACAGTATCTCCTATTTCCTTTTTGCAACAAATTATCATAAGTGACAATTAGTAGAAAACAGAGAGAATTAAGAGTGTGATGCCATTCTGTGGATAATTCTTGCTCAATGAGGAATATATTTGAACCATAAGTGGAACCATGTATAGTTCAAATTCGCCAAAGGGCATGTTATTCTATACTTGAGTAGCTACAAGCAGCAAATCCCAAGATTTATTGATGAAACATTACGAAACACTATCATCATCTTTGCGGTGTCAGTGACAATCATCTATCTAGTATATGCCCTAATAACTATGGAGCTATTCAGTTGCCAATTTGCTTTCAATTGAGTTCGCCAATGTAATGGAACCTGTGTGCTTGCTTATGCCTACTTGATTCTCCTGTTGAGTTCATAGAAGTAACTGAGTATTACAACGGTTGCTGCAACAGCAATCCCAACAGCACCTTGTGCCAACACCGTGCTGTTCTTTACTGCTAACTTGAAGCAAGATGAAGGTGGTGCAAATCCAAGCTCTGAGAGCTTCTTGTGTGACTCTGCATAGTCTCTGAAGAAAGCCTCTTCGTCCTGTCATAGAAATAAGTAGCTATAAGCTATTACAGAAAAAGCTTTTGCGTGAGATTGTTTAGGAAAAAACAATTTGTGAGATTGCCAGAAATCTTGAAGAATAATGCAGCTGTTTAGCCAAATGGATATGCATATTGGTTAAGAAGAAAGATTCAAATAGGACTGTTGCTCCTTCATTTGCTCAATAAAGATCTATGAGAGTGACAGACCTTGGGTGGACCAGTCAAGGGTATAGTATGTTGCAAAATATTCCAGCGCACTTGCCACAGTTTTATCATTTATGCTTGTCAAGCCATCAATAGGAAATGACGGTCTACCACGTAAATCCTTAGTTATCATCAATGTATGAGAAAGCAAAGAATAGCAAGAGTCACAAATGATAGATAAATTTCCAGCAATTTAGCCAGCCTTGCTGGGTTTTAATGTTATTTTCCTTCTTGCATTATGCAATGTTGTCTAGTAGTAACAAATTTAAACGATGTATTACAACAATTGACCATTAAAACTATGAACAGTAACATGAGCTTTAATACCTTTGCATAAAGTTCCACATAGGGGAAAAATAGTGGATCTTCAACCAGAGCTTTATCGGTGGGAAGTTTCAAGAGACCTTCTGAATCCTCCTTGAGGAGCTCCCTAAGAGATCATTGAATCATTTGGGCAAGCAGTCATGAAAATTTTCTTTTAACACCGGTGAAGTATAAAAGAGGTTCCTGCATATACTAATCTTACACAAAGTATGAGTTGTCAAATTTCAAAGGCTCTTTAGTCCAAGGTCCCTCAAAGCCAGATCTCTCTGGATGTGCTCTTCCCTGCAACAGGAAACACAAAAGAACTTTAAGACAACTGCGTGAGAAATATCAGTATCTAGATTCAGATCCATGTGATATAATACCAGTGTGTGGCCTCCAGATAATGCCACTATATCTTTGTCAGTGAGTCCCATTCTGTAAAAGACATCCCTCAAGTGTGGTGGGCCTAAAAGGCATTAGAATGTTGAACGAAGTAAGAGATAACATGCTGAGAATATGTTTCAAAGTCAGAGCACTCAGTTGTAGAGCACTCTCAGAAAAACATGCCTAGTTCTTATTACTCCAAGGTAGCTTGGTAGCACTTTTGGCAATATATAGAATTTTTCCAGTAGGATAATCACCAAGTCCAGTTCAAGGTTATTGTTCATAATATTCAAGAGCTCCCACCAATTGGACTAAATTATTTTCCTTTGCAAAAATTTCTTGAGAATAATGTTTACAAAACGTAGAAACATGTTAGGAGACAAAGCGATTAGTGCAATTTAGCAACAAAAAAAAACTAAATTATGTCATCTACAAGATTATTGACAAGTGACCTTAATATAGATGCAGAACCAAGGAAAATTTTTATAAGTATTCAAGTTGTTTAGGAGCAATATAATGCTAGAACAATAATTAGGAACCAAATATGGTATAAAGAGGATATGTAACGTAAATAGGATAGATGAAAGCTCCACTTATTTCATGCTCTGAATCAAGTTTAACTCAATTGTTCACAGTGCACCTCAGCGGCTATAACTTTACAAATATGCTCTGCATGTATTTCTGTAGTTCTAAGCCTAATCTTGAACAAGTGCTAGCGATTATTCATTATTTTTATCTTGTATTCTCATAGATTCTTTCCCTACTAGAGAAGTAGAGAATGAGTATGCCTTCCCTTGACATGGTGATATTGAATAGAGTAAACTACCTGTTCCATCATCAAATGATGCGTATCCCAGATTGTAAACTTCACAGTTAAATTAGATAAAAATTCAGAGTTTTTTACCTTTTATCTATTACCTTAATTTCAAATGATAGATCAGCTAAGTAAACCTTTTTAGATGACTAACCTTGTTTGGCATCAGGAAGACGCCCTTCTTCTGGTGAACTTGATGAATCCTGGTAGAAAGGTGGAAGTTACTGATTAAAGACAAGTCCACCAAATGTATGTAAAGTTTAAAATCGAAAACGGGGGCACATTTTCATCTTTTCGGTACCTTTCTACCAGGGACAAAATCAACGGTAGGACCCCCAGTTACTTCAACAGCAACTACTCCAGCAAGCTGCAGTGCCAAACGAAAAGGTGATTAAGCACAATCTCAAATCCGTAAAAACCAGAACATTTTTGTTCCTCAATTGGTAGTACGCATTACTACGAAGACATCTAAAATTAAACAGAACCTTTAGAAAATGGAAATAAATCCTCGACACAAGTATCCTCACCTGATAGAGATCAGCATACGTAATTATAGGATGTCTGGCCTTAATTTCTTCTGTACTCCATATAAATTAAAAGGCATTAGAAGATAGGAATTAGTATCGCTGGCTGCAAAATTGATTAGACTGACAAAAGAAGCACTTAATACATTATAAACAAAATATGGGGGCATAGGAGGATGCTTATTCAGAAGACACTGCTCAGTCGATCTTAATTTAGAGCAAAACAATATATTTTGTCTGTTTTCATGAAAAGAGAAAAATTGTAATGCTAAATAGAGAGAAACTGTTCAACCTAAAGCTAGACTCCTATTATTGCAGAACAATTTGATTTAATTACTAAACATATAAGCAGCCTAATCCTTTACAGAACTCCAAAAAAAGGGTGTAATATAGTGCTCAACTTTTCATCTTCGAATGAAAACTCAAAAGGGTAAGCATGAGCAATATACTAGTAAAACATAATTAGCTGTTAATATTCAAAATCAATCAAAAACACTCATGTCATGTACTTAAACTGAAACACTTAATCATTAACCATCGCATTGACAATTCATCGACGAACACAAATTCATTTCTCTTGAGGTAATTACTATCTTCAGCGAAAACTCCAGAAAAGTAAAAGGTTAAAAAGCTCACCACAAAGATCAATTGCAATTTTGAGACCGCTGTTAGCGGCATGCTTGTACTCTATCTCATTCCTGATTGATCCATCAGGTCCTCCAGTCTTTGTTGCTGCATCATACGTTCCTGCATCATGCCACCTGCGGCAACATATATATCCCGAAAATATAATGTCAGATCACAACAATTTTTATTTCCAAAACATTTGAGAATTTTGCATACATACGCTAAACGAAGCATAATAGGAGCACAGTTTTTGCTGGAGATAAGTGCTCGAAGATCTCTTCGGGCCCTCTCTATTTCCTTCAGATACTCTGCATTCACTGCCGCCATTGATAACACACGACGTTACAGTACAGTGATATCGTAATATTTGATGAACGAAATTGCGATACACAAGAAATATATTATATATAGAATAGAAGAAAAGAGAAGAGAACTTTTTGTGAGAGGTGAAGTAAAGAAGCAATGAATATGGAACAACACAAGAAACGAATTGGATTTTTGCTTCGTCAAGTGGCACAGGTCATGAATAATATGGAGGGAAAATACCAAAAAGGATGATCAAGTCTCTGTCAATAAGCGCGTTAAGGACATTCGACAATCTTACGAAAATGGTTGGTGGCGCGTGAATAAACGTGGTGATTGAAAAGCGTGGGTTATTGTTTGAGAATGTGTTGATATGCGTGCAATGGCGTGGGCATTTCTTATCTTTTTACTATTGGCTGCCCGATGAGCCTCGTGTGCTAGCGGATCTAACGAACCTTCATTTTTTGTGTCAGCTTAATATGTGGGGAGTGCACAGTTAGCCACTAATTAGAATTGTATTTATTCTTTAGTCACTATTTAAAATGTGTTTATTCTTTAGCCGGTGCTTTAATAAATTTTTACTTGTCCAGACAAAAATACTCATGTGCTAGATACGGTGTCATTAACTTCATGAGTATTGTGTAAATATTAATGACAAAATGTCCTGAATTAGCACCTTCTATTTTAAACTTTAGGACATCTTGTCCTTAATTTCATACGTGTAGTGTAAATGTTAAGGACATGGTATCCTTAACTTCATGAGTATTGTGAAAATATTAAGGACATCGTGTCCTTAACTTCATGAGTGATGTGTAAATATTAAGGGCAAAGTATCTTGTATTTGCACCTTCTGTTGTTAAATTTTAGGACATCATATCCTTAACTTCATATGTGCAGTGTAAATATTAAAGATATGGTGTCCTTAACTTCATGTGTGTCGTATAAATATTAAGGACATAGTGTCCTTAACTTCATGAGTGTTGTGTAAATATTAAGGACATGGTTCACTTAATATCCAAAAGTTAAGACATTTCAGAAACATTTGTCCTCAATATTAGATTCCTAGTTAAATATTTCAGGATGTTTAGAAAATTGTGTCCTAACGTTTACTTGTTTTGCTAAATGTCCAGAAATTAAGGACATTTCAGAAACGTTTGTCCTCAGTATTAGATTCCTAGTTCAATATTTCATGACAAAAAATTATGTCCTAACATTTACTTGTTTCGCTTAATGTTCAAAAGTTAATGACATTTCTGAAACTGAATTTGATTCTCGTTTAATCCCCACAAAACAAACTCAAGTAAGGAATACAGCTTCCCAGTAGCAGTACAAACACATCCCAATAGCTAATTTGATTCAATTATCACGAAATCAACAAAGCTCAGGTGGTCATCTTCTCCAAAATCGGCTTTGCAAATTTTTGACAAACCCTAGCAAATTAGCTCACAAATGGTCCAAATTTGTAGAATCAACTCACAAAGGTATTTTCCAACAAATATTTTGACCACCCAAATGATTTTGAATATCTAAATTTTCAGAGAAGAAATGAGAGCTTAAGTGCCGGAGAGGAGCGAGGGTTTTGAGATTTTGATAATGAAAAAGGGTTGAAAAAAAAAGAGATGAAGAAAGGGTAAAAATGTCTATTCATATTAATTATAACAAAGTAGTGGCTATATATGCTTAACATTGAAATTGCTGGCCAAATACTAAATAGCATCTTAAAAACTGGTCACCCCACGTGTAACGATCAGGCCGGTCATTTTAAGAATTTACGCCCTGATCCCCTATCAACTGCTTTTCCCGTATTTGTTTCTGCTATTTTGATTTGCCGAGATGATTCATTGTGAGTTTTGGAGTGTTTTGGGACATTTAATCCCTCAATGAGAGCGTAAGCTTTAGAAATTGGACCGTAGTTGGAGCAGTATGAATACGGCCTCGGAATGGAATTCCGTCGATTTCGTTAGCTCCGTTGGGTGATTTTGGGCTTAGAGACGCATTCGAATTGTGTTTTGGAGATCCGTAGCTTCTTTAGACTTGAAAGGTAGAATAGCCTCATAGACACTTGTACTTATTTGTATTTGTCATTTTGATCCCTGTATTCAAGCAAGTTTCATCCAAGCATTTATAGTCGTTCAAAGTCGATATTTTAAACCCTTCCGACGCTGCGTGTCTCTCAACATGATGCTAGAATCCATGTCAGATAAAATTATGCTACATCACCTTTTCTTTTTATTTTTACATTAAAAAAATAAATAATCCTTCTCTCTTTCATCTTTTTTTTTAACTTTTTGTTTTTCTTTCTCTTTCTTCTTCACCCCCACCTTCTCCTTATGCTATCACCTCTAGCACTGACAAAACGTGAAAGTTTCTATGGCCACCAAAAAAAACTATGAACCCTTATTCCCAATTTCTCCATAATAAGAACCCTTATTCCACCTCTACCTGAATTCCTTATATCTACCATTTTTCTTCCTCATCAAAACCAAGCTTCACAACCATAGTAGCACCCAATTTCGTTCCTCTTTTCGCTATTTTCGTCCATCTTCATTCCTTTACTCAGCACTTCGCATCCATCTTCACGATCTCACTAGCTTCAAATCCCATGTTTCCCCTATTAAAATATTGCTTCCCAGAAAATGGTTCCTAATATTATACTCTTTCATAGTTTAGTAAATTCAATTTTATCTATACATAACAACAATCATACAAATATAATAAAAAAGATGTCTATCAATCAAATTAAACGAATTTGTACTAAAAACAATCACAAAGCAAACAAACAATGACAAAGGAACTCAGATCTATCAAAAATATTTAGAAAAAAAAAAAGAAATAGGGCTGGGGTGATGAGGGAGGAGAACGAGATGGGCGGAAGAATCAAAGAAATGGGGCAGGGGTTGGGGGAAGAAAGAGAAGGGGAGAGGCATAAAGAGAGAGAAAAAACAGGGGAGAGGGGTGGGGTGAAACGAGAAAGAAACAATAGGAGCAGTATGCTTTTGTTTTTAATTTCTTTTGACTTTTTCTTTTCTTTTATTATTTTAATTATTTTTAATATTATATTCACACTCATTGTATGCGTGAATTATACGTATTTTGTACAACTCAGCCATTAAGTTGTCACGTATGCTCAGTCAATGGTCAGAGGGGTTTAAAATATTGACTTTTAGCAATTATAAGTGCTTGGATGAAACTTCGTTAAATATAGGGACCGGGATGACAAATGCAAACAAGTACAAGTGTCTACTAGGCTATTCTGCCGGCTTGAAATGCCGAAACTTGAATTTTTGAAGTTTTCGGATCGGTAGTGAATTTTTTATATCGGAGTCGGAATCTGATTCCGAAAGTCGAAATAGGTCTGTAGTGTTAAATATGACTTGTGTGCAAAATTTGGGGTCATCGGAGGAGGTTTGGTTGGTTTCGGTATCGATTGTCGAATTTAGAAGTTTCAAATTCATTAAGTTTGGATTGGAAGGTGATTTGTGTTTTTAGCGTTGTTTGATGCGATTTGAGGGCTCGACTAAGTTCATATGGTGTTTAGGATTGGTTGGTATATTTGGTTGAGGTCCTGGGGTCCTCGTGTGTGTTTCGGATGCTCAACAGACCATTTTTGAACTTGGAGAAGGATCAGATTTTTCTGGTTTTCTGTTGCAGACTTTCCTTCTTCGCGATCGCGTGAGGAGGATCGCGATCGCGAAGGCTTAGCTAAGGCATAAGAAGTTTTGTTCTTCGCGGTAACAGGAAAAGAAATGTGAACGCGTAGTATTGGTAGGAGGTTGAATTGTGAACGCGTGGTCTATGTCGCGTTCGTGAAGAAGAAGTGAGGCAACTGTGGAATGGGAGTTTCTCTTTGCAATCGTGTGAGGTCAACTGCTATCGCGTAGACCTGAGCAGTGCAAGCATAGCATTCACGTGGAGAGTATCGCGTTCGCGTAGGGAAAATGTGGGATCAGCGAAGTTGCTCTTCGCGATCGCGTGGGAGCTTTCACGGTCGCGATTAAGGTCACGTCTGGGTAAAACATAAAGTTCAAAATCGAGGGTTTTGAGTTCATATCACAAAATTAAATTGGGAGCTCGGTAGGAGACGAAGAGATTTTCGAAGGGAGTTTGGGTTAATGATTCTTAACTCTTTTTTGCTTATAACCCATTAATCTAAACATGAACTCATTATCTAATTTCGGATTTAGGGTGAGAAATTGGGAAAAATTTGAGAAAGTTCTTAGGCCTAATTTTGGGGTTTTGATCAAGATTTTGATATCTGATTGGAGTAATTTTGAGGGTTCATAATCCGTCAATTTTTTTCGATTCCGAGACGTGGGCCCGGGAGACTTTTTGGGCAATTTTCAAATTTTTGCATGTTAGCTTTGAATTAATTAGTTAAATTAGTTACTTAAAGTTATATTTACATTATGCAATTAATTTGAATAGATTTTGGCCATTTAAAGTCGGGTACTCGTGAGAAGAACGTGATTTCAAATTGATTGAGCTGATTCGAGGTAAGTGGCTTGCCTAAACTTGGGGGGACTCCCCTATATGAGTGTCGTGTACATGAGGTGACGAGTGTGTACATGTGCTAATTATTGAAAATCCCATTTTCATTAAGCTAATACCATGTTTTCTTGTAGTTTAGCAAATACTTATACTTGAAGCCTCTTGTTTAGATTAGGAAAAGCATGCCTACGTGAGTTAATCGTTTTTTCCCGCTTTAATTGCCTACTTGTACTCTATGCAGCATGTTAGAGTAGAAATTCTTGTCTAATTCATGAATAGAACTGTATATTTTTCTGAGATGGTTGTGTATTTACTTTGTGACTACGGGATGATATCCCGGGAGATCCCCCTGCTTGTTTACTTTCCGACTATGGATCGGTATTCTGGTAGATCCGCTTGCACAATTGTGATTGGGACTACGGGATAGCACCCGGTAGATTCCCCATAATGGATATTTATTTTTGGGCTACGGATTTGGTATTCCGGGAGTTCCCCTTGCACATTTATGATTTGGACTACGGGACGATATCCAAGGAGATCCTCTGGACATTTACGTTTGGGACTACGGGACGATATCCTGGGAGACCCCCTGTTGTTATTTCTGTGCATTGAATTAGGTTTTTTCTGTGATTTTATTCGTTATAGACTGTTAGCATTCTTATTATATTGTCGTATTCCATACTATTTTACCTCACATATATATTTATATAACCAGTAGGGCCCTGACCTTCTTCGTCACTACTCGACTGAGGTTAGGCTTGGCACTTACTGGGTACTAATGTGGTGTACTCATGCCCTTTTCTGCACATATTTTTCGTGTGCAGATCCAGGTTATTCGGCTCAGCTATACTTCCAGTGAGGCGAGGCGATTTTCAGAGAC